AAAGGTTTTTTTTGTTGTGGGTTTTTGTTTTTTTTTTTTACATACGCCACTATGAAGACATAGTCTCAGCTACCCAAACTAATAAAGTTTCACTTATGGTACAGTACTTGGCACTCTAAGTATGTAGATTTAAAGGCTATTCAACAGTTTCACTTTTAGATTCAGCATCACTAAAATCATACTTTCTTTTTTTTAGAAATAAGATTTGGAATTTCCACAGCTTGTTTTTTGCCAGCAACAAGAGACTAAGATAAAAAGTAGGGACTTTTTTCTCTAGTGCCTTCTATTTAATTTTTAGATGAACTTCTTGTTCCTTCTGTAAAGTGAAATAGGCAATGCCTCTGAATAGAAGAAAATAAGAAATTAGTTATTTTGTAGTCTATGTGAGTTATCATATCTCTGTATTGCATCTTTTGTAGATTTTGGATCCCTTCAGACTAACAAAACAGGAAGTGTCATAGCTGGGGAGCTGGTGCCTGAGAAAGGTAATGAAGGAAGTAGATGCATTATTTCAGTATTTCAGAAATTATATACAGTATTTCAGAAATTCCAGAAAAGGGAAAGAAGCAGATGACAGAACTTTCTTAAGTTGTTTCTTTTTATCCTTTTTTCAATAGATGACAAGTTAGATGTGGAGTACAATTGTAAGGTCTGATGTGGGTTACACGGTAATGCGTTGGTGTTCTTTTTGTAGCTAGGAACAAAGTTACAATTCCTGAAACAGACACAACCCTTTAAATAGATCTGCATGTAGATCTCATCCTTCCCATCTAGAGATGAAAATTATAGGGAGTCAGTGATGCTCTCCTCCCCCTCTTGGGGGCTATACAGAGGTTGTATTATTGTCAGATGATGACAAAGAAGGTGGAAGGAGTTAGGGAAAGCAAAGGGTCAGGGAACCAAAAAGCCAGTAGGCACTGAGGAAGGAAAGACACTGTATAACTCGTATAGCAGGCTATTGAGGTTGCTGAGAACTGAAAATTTTGAGGCTGGCAGATCATTATCTGCTGTATAAGCCATATAGTCATCAGCATTCATACATGTCCTCCAGGTTCATGTTTTTTTCAGTTATTTGATCAAGATATGACCATATTAAAGGTGTTACCTTGGATTTGGTGCCTGAAGGGCATTCCATCTTTGCTGATGCAGATATATTTTTCCCTCTGAGAATAGTTCTCATTTGAGTTACAGCATATTCCCCTTGCGTGATCATACCATGGAGGTATCAGACACTCTCTGTGTAGGAAGAGACAGTCTTCATCCCAGCTGCTTTCATAAAACATCAGGGACCCTGTAAGAGGCTTTCTTATACTCAGACATCCAGTGTGCATCCCAAGGAGATTTTTCATTAGATGGGTGAGCGCTGCAGTCTGAATGGGGGACCTAAGTGTGAACTTGCTGTAATACCTCTATGATCTGAGGCTAAAGAATTGCTGAGTCAGGCTTAGCTGCATATTCTCACCTGAATGCCATGCCTTCCACAGGATTCTGCCCTCTCAAGCTAATGGGACAGAAAGATGCTTGCTAATAAACATGCTGCATATGTTTCTGTGTTGGGGCCCTGTATAGAAGTTATTATTTCAGCACTGGGTATTTTATAGCAGAAACCCCAAATGGTGGCTCTAGATGCAGACGTTGGGATGAAGTGCCATGAAGCATTTTATTGCGACACAAGAAATAGAATGTAGAATTAGATGAGTTTCCTTCTACCTCCTTTTTTATAATCTCCTCTGCCAAAAGAGAAGGATTAACCCTCTTCCCCATAGGTCCTTGGCCATAAATCACAAAACCAGTAGTGAAGGTTTTAAGAGACCAAATTCTGCATGAAGTTTAGCCTTTCAGCTTTCCCCTAATAGCCTCCATGAGACAATGCAGTACATTAAAAATGCAGGAAGAGGGTTAGAAATCTTGGATAACTAACATGTACGATAACGTGCATTTTGTTCAAATAACAAGTTCTTGATATCTGAATGTATTATGTCTTTTGTCTAGAGGAAATTCATTGAAGTTCATCATATAGGTATTTGGCAGGGTTGTAGAAGTATGAGTTAAAGCAAATGCTTAGCACAGTTCTGAAATGGTTTTCTTTTCTTACGTTCCAGAAAAGTCTGAAGTAAGTTTCAGTTTCCTGAAGGACATTTGTAATTTCTGACACCAGGCCAAAAATGATGGGTTCAGTATTTCCAAACTCCCTTCTGAGACACACAATTGTTTTATCTTTGTCCATCAAAGCCTGAGAAAAGTCTCTTTTGATTACTAGATGTATTGGAAAACATATATTTACATGCCAGTGCCTAATTCTTTTAATCTCTTTTGTCTTTAGTAATATTTTCGTAATACTTGTTAGATTCCAGTCTTCGTTAGGCTCTGCATGTGTCAGGATTTCTTCCAGTTTATCCTGTAATACTTGATCTCACTGTGAATCTAGATGCATCCTCTATTTTTATCCCCAGCAACCTCCTCTGTCCCATTTGAAAAAAAAGCTAGATTATCTGAACTCTTGAGGCCAACTGCTAAAACTTGTCAGCTGATGTCTGTTTGTTTTTGGACAGAACATCCAGTTCTGAAAATAAGCAAACTTGATACCCATTTTTCTATTTGTGGGTTGATGCTGAGGCTAGTAGGAGCAACAGTAAAGTACATGTTCTTTTTAAATACATAGAAGACTTACATTTGAAGTTGGATAAAGAGCAAGTTTTAATAAATTTTTAATTTCTTGGCAGATCTGTACTTCCTTTAATAACGTTTGTCGGCTAACCCTGCTCTTACCTATACTGTCTGAGTTAAATTTGTCTGGTCGTTCAGTACAGTAGTCCCTCTGGTAAGGATCCAACTCCGGTAAAGTTAGTGGCAGCTGTCCAGTTTAATTTACTGAGAGCTGGATCAAAGTTATTTCCTATTTCATGTTATCTGATAAAGGACTTGATTACAATTTTTCCAGCATGCGGATATGGCCTCCTATTTTTATATCTAGAAACTGATTTCCCAGAAACAGGGAAAATTTTGCCTTTTCTCCTTCAGTTTAGCCTATGATTATTTAAGCAGTCAAAGCAGAAGAGTTTCATTTCTTGCTTCTCTCTGCCTATGATTAAACAGTATTTATTTGCACCTTAACTGAGAGAGTACACTTTCCTTTAACAAAACTCTTTTCTGTGCAGTAAAATCACATTCTGTAGATGTTGTTGCCTGCTCTGGATAGATTTTGGATTTCTGGGTTTGATAATAGTACTTCCAGAACAGTACTCTGCTTGCATTTCCTGAGACTTACAAGAAATTTTTTTTTCCTCCTCCTCCTCGTCCTACTCCTCCTCTAATAAAAACAATGATGATGGTAATAATATATTATGGGAGAATCCAGTGTGGCAGTTTTAGTGAATTTCAGCATTAGTGACTTTTGGTTCGGTGTTGCTAGGTGCTTCAGATTTCCCTGTGTTATTGTCTTCTGGGTAATGCTTGGGTTGTCTTGTTTAGGTTTTTTGTATTTCTGAATATTGTTGTTATTATTAATTATTATTATTTTGAAGACATACTTTCTGCCTGAGATCACAATTTTATCTTCCCACAATCATTACATCCCTTTTATATTTAGGAGTTTATTATAGGTGTATGAAAAAAGTGGTTGATACTTCTTATTTTACCTAGTGTGTTTCAGTAGCAGCTTGTGCTGTCCAGCTGTCCTTTGATGAGGATGCAAATGTAGGGGCAGCTGCAGTCATGGAAAAAGCAGAAGAAAATAGTTCCTGAAGAAGACACACTTGCTGTAGGCTCTTGCCTGAACATGGTGTTTTGGAGTTAGCATTAGGTTATTAACTGTAAAATCTGCTCCACTCAGAAAGTATTATGTTGATGTAGTGCCAGCTTTTCAGCAATTAAATTTCTTTAACATTACAGCATTGTTACTACAGCCTTTATTTTTCCAAGTTATTACTCATTTACTAGACATTTGAATCTGTGCTGCTTATAAAATATACTGTATGATGACAATATTTCACAGACATCAAATGACCAAAGTATTACATACCAAATGATTTGCCAGAGACATTTTAAAAGCATATATGTTTTGTTTTTAATTTCTTGCTGCTTTTATTTAGTGATTCATAATCGACCAATATGAACTACTCAAGTAGTTGAATAAGTAAACAACTGAGATGTGGAAACCTTTATCCATTATTTGCATTCGTAGCATTTCCCAATTGAAAATTAATCACTGAAAATGTTATTTTACTTTTTTTATAACATTGCCGCTATATTAGCCAGTAATAGTTGTCCTCAGACATTCCAAACTGGATTCGTACACCCACTGGAAACCGAATACTGAAAATAATCCCAGAGTTGTATTATCAACTGCTATACTTCAATTATATATAAACAGGACATAAGAGATCTGAGAGGCATGTCAGTAACATAATGCATAGCAGTAGCCTCTTGAAAGAGAGACATTTTCGGGACATTTTTAAAGAGGGATTGGGAAAACTAGTTCGTTCAATTCATCCGAACAAGATGAGCCTGATTCAAGCTGATCAAGTCGGATCTCCAGACTTCTGTTATCCGACTCGTTTCTTCACTTTTAGGGGCCCAAAATACTTAGGAACGTGAGTAACAACGCGTCTTAAACCGGTAGCGCAGTTTTCCAAGGGAAAGTTATTTACAGAACCGAGGATTGTTAGAAGTATGCTCAAGACTCAGCCCTACAAATACATTTGCACTGAAAGCAAGCTTGAATAACCTTTCCCTCGGAGATACAGCGCCCTTCAATTACCTGTAGGACCAGGCCTTGGCTTGCTGGTTTTAAGCCCAGCAGGCACAGCATCCCAGGTGTCAGCGGTTACGGCTTCCCCGGGCTTTGAGTTCCGTGCGGAGAGAGGCAGCAGAGGGCGCCGAGCCCGGGCCGCGGCCCGGCGCGGGTCTCCGCCCGCCCTGGGTTTCCCCGTCCCGGGATTTCCCGCTCCGCCGGGAGGAGAGCCCTTATAAACGGCGCGCGGGCTCTCTTCTGGAAAACTGTTGCAGAGCAGCAGGATCTCACTGTGCTTCTTCACAGAAAATAGAAAGCACGGCTTCTGAATTTACTTTCTTTACCCAGTAACAGCAATTACAAAGCTTAGAACAGATGGGAAGAACAAGCCAAGCCGTGCTGCTAATTTTGTATGTGTTTATGACTGGTAAGTTGGGGGGATGGGGGCATTTGCTTTATTTGTTTTTAATTTTGCTAAGTGTAAACTGACCTACAATTTACTGTTTGATCTTTATTTCTCTTTGTTCTGGTTGCTTTTAGATTTCAGTGAATATAACTGTCAATTAAGTAGTTTTGTCAAAATGTCAGAAAGTTTTTTTGACGTTTACTTTGAGCTTTTCTACGCTTTGCAGTGACACAGTCATTTTCTTACTGGGTTCGCTAAAAGACAGTCTAGGAGACAACTGCAGTATATCACTGCATGTTTGATTTTCACTGTCATCCCTGACAGTATCAGTCAAGTCTGGTACTAAATGTCCTGTTGAAAGTGATTCTGCAGTTGTCCTTGCTCTCTTACTTACTGCCCCTTCCCTCAAATGTTACAAAGTTTTAGAACCAGATCCACCTGACAAAAAAAAGTTATATTGTGCCTCTGCATTTATTTTCACTGACAGCATTGGGTTTATGCCATTTTATACATGAGAACCGTCTGTTAGAGTCATCTGAGTCTGTATTATCCTTGACAAAAGTAGCAATGTTTATGGGGTATTTTGGAGATGTAAACCACTGTATGAGCTTTATTAGTTTAACCTCCACACAGCTGTAAAGTAAACTTGCAAAGTGATAACCTCATGTCACAGTAGAACATGAGAAGAAATGGCAAAATAAAACTTGAGAATGCTGCTGAGTTTACGTATGTTCTCCCTATTGTAGTTAAAGCATTTGAAATGGAGATTATACCTGCTAACAGAATTGTTGCACAGATTGGAGAAACACTCATACTCACATGCAATACTACTGGCTGTGCATCACCAAGTTTTTCCTGGAGAACCCAGATGGACAACCCCCTTGGAGGAACAGTGAACAACCATAGGACATACTCTACCTTGACTATGAATCCAGTTAGCATTGTGAATTCTCATGATTATCTGTGTACTGTCTTCTGTGGTGAGAAAGAGAAAAAAGAGAAGAGTATCAAAGTTGAACTTTACTGTAAGTAAACATGTAAAATTCTCTTGAAGTAGTACACATTCATAAAAAATCAATAATTGTTTTTGGATATCATGGTTGGCAGTTAACTGATAATGCTAGGATAATGAGCCTGCTGTAGCTCAACATATATATCCTTGTAAGAGTCCTTTATCTGTCTGTTCAGGACTCTTTCTTAGCCCCTTTCTGCTTAGCTTTCTGCACTGAAGTTAGTACTTATTCTTGGTAATACTTGAAAGCCAAAACGTAGACTCCCCCAAACATCCATAGAGCTGGGAAAAACAAAACAAAACAAACAAAAAAACCAACCAACAAACAAACAAAACCAAAACCCCAAAGCCTTTGCAGTTTGCAGGGGAATGATTCAGATGTCTAAACCTACCAGCACAGAAAACAGGATTGCACCAATGTATGGCTTGCTCTGAATGCCCATATTTAGGCAGCTGTATCACTGCCTAGGTGCCTCGCTGGATCTTATTAGATTATTTGTGATCATATTTCAACAATTGTACAAATATAATTCCTGTTAGTGTATGAACTGCTTATAAAAGACCTGTATGTCTTCATATAAAGATATGTCTTGTAATAAAGTTGATGTAACATCATGTTCTGAATGCCTCTAAACTCAAGATGTTTGATGTCTGGATCTTGCTCTTACGTTGACCCTAGAGCTCATCTCTGCTAGACTAAAGAAATGGATTTTATTCTTTTAGCTTTCCCCAGCAATCCTATCATTGAGATCAGGCCATCCTTAGTTGCTGGAGAACCAGTCACTGTCATCTGTAAAATTCCTGATGTGTATCCTTCTGATCACCTGGAAGTACTCCTAAAGAAAGAGGGGTATATTCTTCATGAGGAAAATTTTTATGAAGATGACAGCACAAATACAGAGACCAAAACTGTGACTTATTCTTTTAATCCCACACCTGAAGATATTGGGAAAGAGATTACCTGTGTGGCCAAGTTACCAATTGCTTATATGGACTTTGAACCTAAAGAAAGAGTAACTTCTCAGAAACTGAATACAAACTGTAAGTATTTTTATTCTAAGGCTTTCACACCAAGTACTGTTTAATGTTAAGTTTAATGGAATGGGCTTATAAAGTGTGTGCTATAAATCATTTATAATCTGAACTTATCTATGTTATTTATGTAGATAATCTATTGTATTCAGTTGAATTCTGTTGTATTCAGTAACAGTCACTGTGTCATTAAATACCTACTGTTGTTCATGACAGAAGTAAGACCTTCAGTAACTCTTCTCTCACTCTCTTACCTTGGGTGCTGGTGCTCAGTCAAAAAGTAAGGACCAGAAGAAAAATGGCAGCATGCAGATAAAAAAATTATTTTTAAAATTGCCATTGTATGCTTAGCAGTTCCAAGTTTATAGTCCTAAACAATAGGGAGACAAATGTAAGAGTAAAAAAAATAAATAAATTTGTACACATTTTGTCTAGTTTATCTTTCAAAGCTGCAAGCTAAATGTCTCATCATGTGTGGAAAAATTGTTCCACTGTGTTACTGGAATACACATTACTCTTTTTTTTTCCTTGATATTGCCTGAAATGTACCTCTAGAGAAGCTAGTGTTAAAGATGTGCATGTCATTTTTCATTAACTTACTGACCTTATCTTTCTTTTGTTCTCTTCCAGTTGGCCCAAAAAATACTATCATTACTGCATCTCCAGGCAACTCGCTAATGGAAGGAGACCCTCTAAAACTCACTTGTGTGACTGAGAGTAATTCACCAACACAAACAGTTTGGAGAAAACATTTGGCTGATGAAAGCATTCAGCACCTGATAGAAAACAATGTCCTTTCTATTCCCCATACCCGTTTCACTGATACAGGACTGTACATCTGTGAAGTAATTAATCTGGTAACTAATAAAACAGAGAAAGCAACTGTGGACATTGTCATACAAGGTACAAGTCTGCTTGAATTTAACTTGTATTATCCAGTACTCAACTGGCAGCTGCCTGTTGGGTTAGAGGATGCTGAAACACTGAAAATTAGGAAATTATGGGGCCTTCCTTGTTATGTATTCAGGATTTAGCTTTCAATTTACTGCTGTTCTTCATGGGCTGTGCTTTTCATTTCTATGCTTAATTTTCAGCAAATTCTCTCTGTACTGCTGTTGTACATGCGTAACTCTATACATTTCCTGCAATGCAACACTCAAAGTGGTAAAAGAATCTGGTAAAGTGGTGGTGTGGGGGGCACTTACTTCCTTGAAATGCTAATATACATAGCAATTTCACAGTGACATCATGTCTCCTTCTTTGAACTACTAGTTTTAGTCATTTAGTAGTCGTTTAATAGTAAAACTGTTTGGGACACTATTATTATTACTGCTACTGATGATGATGATGATGCTACTACTACTACTGTTTCAATAGAGCCAAAGTCTCAGATGGAGCCTGGGACCAAAACCAAAATGAACAGATCCTTGGGCTAGCAATTCCTGCTTTCTTAAAACCCTCTCCATCTTTAATACTTTTTAATTAGTATAACAGCCTTTTCTTTTGTCATGCAGGTTCTCCAAACATTACAGAACTCTCTATTGAGCCTTCTATAACAGTTCGAGAAGGAGAAAATGTTTCCATACAATGTTCTGCTGAGGGTAACCCTCCTCCCAAGATTATTTTAAGGAGAAAATCTGACAGTGCAGACATGGGGTCTTACAGTGAGGGAAGAATTCTCCTTCTTCCATCTGTGACATTCCTAAATGGAGGAGACTACGAATGTATAGCAGAAAACAAGTTTGGGAAAAGTAAAAGTGAAATAACACTTAATGTGGAATGTGAGTATGTGTAATGTTTTCCCAATAATTTAAAAATAATTGGTTAATTCTCCACTTCAGTGATAAATGTAACCATCAAACTAAACAAAACCCTGTGAGTACAAAAAAATCAGCATAGTCCTCTGGTATTCCCCAAGAAAAGGAGCAGTGCGGATGAGCAAAACAAAGACATGAAATTTTAATGTAATGACAGTCTTAAGTCAGGATCTGAATGAATGAGAAACTGATCTACCTTAACGTTCTTGTTTAGAAGTACTTGGTTAGTATGTTTAGGCTATAAAGAGTTTGTATGGAAGCTCCCATACTGTGTGCTTTACTTATTCTGAGAATGAAAAATAAATTAACTTTGGGAGGCTGACAGCCTGGCATTCAGTAGGACTTGTTGGATCCATCTCTAAAAAATCCAGTGATGATTAACTACAGGATTCTTCCTTTCAGATGGACCAAAGAATACAATGATCTCTGTTATCCCTGCTACTGCTGTTAAAGAAGGAGAAACTGTTATGATGAAGTGTACTAGTTCTGGTAATCCAGCTCCAGTGATCTCTTGGAAGAAAAAGACGGCCACTGGGGAGCTAGAGAAAATGTTTAAAGATGCCACCTTACCTATACAGAATGTAAAAAGTCAAGATATGGGGCTTTATGAATGTGAAGCTTATAACCAATTTGGCAGAGAAGAAAAAGCTGTCAAATTACTTGTTCAAGGTTAGTAGAACAAGATGGAACACAAGTTTTTTGTTTTATGTATTGTAGGTCCAGATCTCATCTGTGAAGGATGGGGGAATTCTGTCTTTGATGTCAATGGAGTTAAAAGGTGGTCCTAATATCATTAGGTCATTTAGGAAGCTTCAAACAATGAAGGGTGAAATCTGTCTTGGTACAGATAGCATATGCAAAGTCCTCAGGTCAGCTGAGCTGCTATTACTCCTTCTATTTGGCAAATGTATGCATGAGGCAAAGAAGCTATGTAGTGCCCATATTTTCTTCCAAATAGGTCTCAGTGGAGGATCCAGATACCTGCATATAAAAGATTCAAAGAAAAAGTACGTGCTCAAATCTCTGTGGAGGGACTGTATTACAGCCCCTTGGCTCTCCTTTAAGTTATGAGTCTATCCTGTTCTTGCAAGCTGCATTAAAGCTATACCAAATGATGATTCCTCAACCTACATGCAATGATAGCAAGTTTCATTTTCAGTAGTAAGCAGACTTCTCTGCTTTAGCCCCACTGCTTCTGTTTATTGCATGTCAACAGTGTATTGCTTAGGGATCACTTCTGCCACTAATCCATCTCTCTTTCTTATTCTTTACTATTTTTGTAGCTGCACCAAAAATTACACTTTCAGTTTTCCCTTCAAATGCAGTGATACAAGGAGAAAGTGTTACCATCTCTTGCACATCTGCAAATGTTACATCTGTTCAGAGTACTCCGTGAAAGAAAATAGGTGATGGGATCACTACTCTTGAAGCAGTAGGTGGTAAATATACCAAAGACAGGGCTCAGCTAAAGGATGCAGGAACATACGAATGCATATCATTAATGAATGGGGAGAGCAGTCTCAGCACATAGTATTTTATGTCAAAGGTTAGTTAAAATAGCTACTGTACAGAGTTAATATTAGGATTTGTTTTAGACAGACAGAATGACATCCTCACTTCAGTTCCATTAAGGATGAATTGTCTTTAAAAAAACTGAGATGAGTTGCACAGGTTCTTGTTATAAGTGGTAGGATCTTAGTGCTAATGAAAACTGTCTAAAATGGCAGATGCACAAAACAATTGCTGCTTCAAAATTTTTCATAGTTCCGCTTCCACCTTTGAAAACAGGATGTAAAATTGTGGAACCTAGTGAAAAAATACTATTCTAGGACTCCTTCCTTTGCCTTCCCTATTTCTCTTCTGTTGAAAGAGGACATCAACCTCTGGGTCTGTTGGTCTGTGTCCTTTCATGAACTCAAATGAATAAACAGTGAATTTAAAATAAGAAAAGAAGAAAAGACTCCATATAATGTAAAAGATATGCAACATACTCCATCAATTGATAAAATGTTCTTTCTGTCAGCTGCTGTTGACAGCAGTGTGTGAAGGATAGCTAGTGACAGAGCAGTGTCTGAAGCTACATGCCTGAATATTATAGTGAATCCATTAACTGGATTAGTACTTTGTGTGTACAAGCTGTTGATACCTCATGAGTTTTTTACTTCTGTTTGTTACTAAATCCTACCTTGCATTTCTTTTCTTTTCAGTTCCTCCCCAAAATATTACTGTGTTAGTATATCCATCAGAAAATGTCAAAGAAGGAGAAAATGTCACTATTACATGTAGCACGTACAGTAACCCACCATCACAGATGGTCCTGAAAAAAGTCCATCAGGAGAAAGAAATTATTCTGTCATCAGTGAATGGAACCTTTATACTCTACAATGTCACCAAAAATGATGCAGGCAGATATTTGCTTGATGTTTTCAATGAGGCTGGAAACAACATCAAAGTGATTGAGATATCTGTTGTAGGTAGGTAGATCTATTGCCTTGAACTTACTTTGTTCATACTTTCTAATGAATTTTGTGTCAAGGTGAGCACAACTAGCTCATGGCTGATCCTTGTGCAACAATACTGCAGTTAATCTAAAAAAAAATCCCCAAATCAAACAAAATAATAGAACAGCTGATGAGAATAAGCTGTATTTAACCTTGTTGTGGTTTAACCCCAGCCAGCAACTAAGCACCACACAGCTGCTCACTCACTTCCCCCCTACCCAGTGGGGCGGGGGAGACAATCAGAAGGAAAAAGGTAAAACTCGTGGGTAGAGATAAGAACAGTTTAATGGAACAGAAAGCAAGAAAATAATAATGATAATAATAACAATAATAATAAAAGAATTGGAATACACAAAACAAGTGATGCACAACGCAATTCCTCACCATTCACTGACGGATGCTCAGTTATTTCCCAAGCAGCGATCCCCCCAGACCAACTCCCCCCAGTTTATATACTGGGCATGACATCACATGGTATGGAACATTCCTTTGGCCAGTTTGGGTCAGCTGTCCTGGCTGTGTTCCCTCCCAGCTTCTTGTGCCCCTCCAGCCTTCTTGCTGGCTGGGCACGAGAAGCTGGAAAATCCTTGACTTAGTCTAAACACTACTTAGCAACAACTGAAAACATCAGTGTGTTATCAACATTCTTCTCATACTGAACCCAAAACACAACACTATACCAGCTACTGGAAAGAAAATTAACTCCATCCCAGCTGAAACCAGGACGAACCTCCTTACAGTGTAGATGTTATTATCTCTCTTACCCAAGTTGGTGCAGTAGCTGTAAGGATAGGGCCAGAAAAAGGTGGATCCTGGCTGCATTTCTGTCCACATGCATGAATGGTGAGACTAATCCAGAGAAAGTTCTGTTTCTCAAAACGGTCTAATATTTGGACTTTTTAAACATGGGTCTTCTCCTGAAGCGTTGTTTCCAGGAGGTAGAAATGTCCCCAGATGTTTCCTGGATAAAATATATTATATTCTTCTTGTATTCTTCATAAGCTCCATGGTATCCTTCATTGTAGATTATATCAGATGGGTCTGAACTTGCACAGCAAATTCAAGACCAAGATAGGGGCTAGGAATTCAAGTGTGTAATATGGAGTTATGAAAGAAAAAAGCATAAGGAATACATTTTGAAATGTGCTTTGTGCACGAAAACAGAACTACTGTTCCAAATGAAGGTCATTAATAACACTGTTTTTACAGTATATATATATATATCTGTTTCAATCAGGTTTTACACAATTTTTTCCTCCTTTTGTCTCCATTTTCAGGAAGATTGGAAAAAACAGATCAAATGATACCACTGATAATTGCATTCTCCTGTGTAACAGCAATAGCAGTACCTGTAGTTGCAATTTTGATCTACGTGTCAAGAAAAGCAAAGATAAATGGATCCTACAGCCTTGTAAAAGCACTCAGGCTGAAAGTGTGATAGCATGAATATAAGTCTAAGTTCATAATAAGCAATGTTATTTATTGTTGTGACTGGTTCCACTCTTCTATAACATATGGTAACAAACAAATGACTTAAGAACACTGCCATGTGATAGCACATGGATTTTTTTTCATGTTTTGATAAGTGTGTCAGTATTTAATTTAAAGGGAATGCTAGCATCCTGTCCTAGAAACTGGTAAATCACTTCTGTGTTGAAGCATGCTGAACAAAGAGTTCCTTGGAGAACTAGGTTTGTACATAGTGTATAATTTGTGTTATAAATATGTTCAACTGAATATCAGTTTGTAAAATTGCAGTCTTACTGCAACTGTACAGAGAAATGTTGTTAATTCAAAGATATAAATCAGCATTACTTGGGCTGATCAGATGATAATATTTTATTTTGTATTACTCTACAGAGTGAATGTTTTTAATACAATTTGTCTGCTCATGGTAATGTTTGGAAAGTATTCTCTTTTCACTCATATTGCCATAAACTCTACACCTTCAATGAAGTTACACAATCACTGGGCTGTGCATTCCTGGTTAAGTTAATTTAAGATATCGAGGCTCATAAGTGAAACATTTTATTTTAAATATTCAGAAAGTATCTGGGATTATAGTCTAGTTAGTTTTAGGACAGCTGAGGTATTTTTGTAGGGTTTAATCATTCTCAAATCAGTGTCAGATTTCTGTTATTTTGTGATGAGCCAAATCAGACACTTCATTTAGAATATAAGCTGCCAATAAATAGGCTTTATAGATTTCCACTGCAAAATAAAACTACCACTAGCTTTCTTTGATTAAATCCCCCTAGTGATTCTTGCTTAAGTTTACGTCAGAATACACATTCCTATGGAAGGAACCAGTGAAAATTATTATCCTTAGCAACAGCAGCTTCGACTGTCATGGGAAGCACTAGCTGTAAAGGCATAAGCAAGGCAGGCAGCAACCTAAAGGCATAGGCAAGGGGGAGGCAAAATCTACGCAGCCTCAGTGATGGTGGTTGAGTTGTTTCCTGAAGAAATGCCCTTCCCAAGCTGCTCACTGTGGAAAACTAAACTGCTTGCCTGACAACTTTCCTTTTAATAGAGAACTGGTGCGTGCATGTTTCACCCTGGTTAGTGCCTTTTTTCACCACACATCTCTCCAGTGTTGCCAAAATGGCTGTGAAAATAGTGGACTTTCTGTGCAGAGGCAAAGATGAGGGGGAAGGAGAGGTGGAGTTTGATGGTATTCTCTCTTACATCCCTTCTTCTGGCTCACAGTGCTGCTTTGACTCATCTGGCTGGTGATGTTCAGCACTGAAGGCAAGGCTGTAGGAGGTGCAGGCACTGTGGCTGAGATGTTGAAGTACATCTCGTCTCAGCAGCCCTGAGCCACTGTGTTAGGCACAGGAAGGTGGGCTTGGCTCCCCCAAACTTGCAAACACAAGGTCAAGCAGAGATCTGTGAAAAGAGTTTCTTTACATTATGCAAATGGTAACAACTGCCCCCAACAACAACACAAACGCAGCTGTCTCTTGGTAGCTAGCTGCAGGATGAGGCAGTGGTGTGGATCTCCCATATCTTTTTCATAGCATGTTCAGCAGTGTTTTGTGACAGTAAATCAGTGCATCCAGGGTCCTGTGCTTATCTACAGTTGGAAAGGGAGGCTTGGAAAGTGGGGGTGTAGCAGAAAAATAGGAGAGCAGTGTGGACTTGGCTTGGAGGAATGTGAGCATGCAGTAGGAGGGTGAAGAAAAGATTGAAGACAGAGGAGGAGGAGAGCTTTGACAGGCCTATGACATAAATTTCTTGGAGGTGGTGCCAGGCATATTTATTCAGAATAATGTCAGGCCTGTCTCAGTGTTGTCTTGTGAACAAACCAGAAAGCATGATTTTTCCACTGTGCAAAACTTTGGTGCACACACATGTTGCCTACTGGGTATAGTTCTGGTATCTGTATTGCAAGAAGGATAGTTAGAAAAGATACAGAGAAGGAGGACTGGAAAACAGGAAAAATGAAAATGCCTGGGACTTTCCAGTTTGGAGAGAGAATTCTGAAGGAGGAGGGGATGCGACTGATGTTTTCCAAATTGTGAAGGCAGCTGACAGCAAACAACAGATGCAGAACTGCTGTTTGCTAAATCATGCAATGCCAGAACTGCAGGGCACACAAACTAAGGAGAGAGCAGTTTAACAAAAATAATAGAAAATACTTCCTTACACAGTGAATGGTGAACTACTGGAAGCTGCTGCAGAAGGTTGTGGAGGATAACAGTATTAATTGGCTCAAAAAGTTAATGGAAAAGATAAGGGACTAAAGGTCCATAAACAAATACTAAAGGGCATAGGCAGAAACGTACTACATAACATCTCTAATCCAATGGCCATTGATGCGGAGCAATCCTCAGGGAATATAGTGCAGAAAGTGGCCAGGTTTTGCATGCTCTCCTGAAATAGTGTCTCCCACTGCTGGAGACATACTATGGTAGCTGGATCACTGGTGAGACCCAGTAAGGTATGTCTTGCCTTCTTATGCCTGCTCTGAGTGGCCTTGGGCCAGGCCTACTTGGAGAAGGGGCTTAGCAGTTCCTGTGCTGTTTTTTCCCTCTCCCATAGTCCCTTAGAAGGAATAAAAAGAGGAAAGATGAGTGGGAGAGAAATAGGAGTCATCTTGCAACAGCCCTTTGGTACTTGTGTAGTCTTTCCTGGAAATTCCCCCACGAGTTCCCGGTATCCTCTTGGCTGCTGGTTTCACTTGTATTTATGATACAGATACAGACCTTAATGTCTGCATGGCTTGTCTGCCCTCACAGGGTCTCAGTATTAAGTCATTTAAGTCAATAGGAATTGGCCTGTGATTTCAACGGTGCCAGTTTTTCAGCCAGAAACACTAAGTGAATTGATAGAGCTTATAGTGCTCATTTTAGGAGAGGCTGTGCTTTTGTGGGGAGCAAGCTTCCTCTCAGTGAAATCACAAAGAAGGACCTTGCCAGGGGATCTCCTCGCCTACTGCCTGATTCTTGGTATTTTCCAGGACACTTAATGATTTAGGCAGAAGCTAGTCCTATGGAGGTTAAAAGTTCACAGTCAAATAACTTCTCTTTTTATTGAAAATTACAGAAGGAATATTGTTTCTCTTTGCACTGTTTCTCATCAAGCAAAATGCAGAGCTTCTGCCCTTGCAAAAAGGCATGAACAGCAGCTCCAGCCCAGCAAGCACTTTCAGAAGGGGTCAGGGCCACCTGGAGGTCTAGGTAAGACTCCCTGCCATGGGACCTGTCTTCACAACCAAGAAAGTGGTCTGTAGAGCAAAGGGCTGTGACAGGTCCACTCAGGTTTTCTCTGCAAAGTTACCTCACAGGTTACGGAGTTGCGTTTTCCCCTGCCTGGGCTTGTGCTCAAGCACACCAGTTGCCCTTGTGTCCTCAGAGCAGGGCCTTATCCCAGCAATATCATGGTGCAATGCTAATGCTAAAATGAGCCTGGATTTTAAAAGGTGATTGCAAAATCTCACTCCCCGCAGCTAGTTCAGGATGTGCTCTTGCTTAAAGTGTAAAGCTCAAACAGAAGAAGAAAAGTTTTTTGAACTTCTCTAAGAATGCTTTCAAATTATTTTGTAGGTATACCGAAGGGAATAGTTAATACATGCCATGACCGAGGTGCTGTTATCTGCTGAAGATAAAACTGGAGGCCCTGTGTTTGCAGGGACAGGCTTGCCCCAGTTTCAGGGACCAGCAGGGCGTGATCATGATGTTTAAGGCCGAACAATGACCTGGTGTCTCTGGCTGTGGCAGGCCTTTCAGCTTCATCAACTTGCTGCTGTGCTGGACCAGGTAACTTCTCTGAGCAGAGCATGTCCTCCTGTAAGGAATCTGATTTTGACTGGAAATTCCTCACAAATGAAGAATATACCATTGTTCTTGGTAATTAGCTGTGCCCTTTCTGTGTACATACATGGCCTACTTCCTAGTCCAATTTGTCTGGCCTTTTATGCCTTTCTCCCCACAAGATAATTGCATCCTGTAATAAAGCTGTCTCTTATTTCTTTGATAAACTAAACAGATTGAGCTGTTGTAAACCTACCTTTCTCTATAAGGCATTTTCTGCATTGGTAAATAATCCTTGTGATCTTTCCTAAATCCCCTCCAGCACTTCAACATACCCTTTAACATGTGGCAAAATATCTGTAGATGATCCTCCAGTGCTATTTCTGCCAGTGCCAGAGGTGATTTTGCTTCTTTACTCCTCCTCTGTGCAGCTCTGCTTCCATAAACAGCCTTTTTTACATTTGCCATTTTTTTGTCAGAGAATCACTGCAGGGAATACAGAGTAAGTCAGTTCCTAACTCCCATTATGGTTTCTTAGTCCTTTGTAGGATTCAGTCACTCAGAGCTGTTCTTAGTAAGGTTTTTTGAAACAGAAAGCTATGCGATACAAAGTCAAATGCCTCATGAGTCCAAATACCTTAAATCTAATTTGTCTGATAATGCCTACATTCCATAAAACCATGCTGACTGGCACTAATTATGTCTTCTATCCTTTAATCCCTGTATCAGCTTTTCCCATTATTTAAAACTTTGTTGTACCAACCAGTCTGAATTTTACCCATATCATTCAGCTTACCAATCAAAAACTGACAGAGTTTTTGACACTACTCAATATTCAGTTTGAAGGCCACTTCACATTTAAAAAAGAAACAAGAGAAGCAGTTATATTAGGGAAACTGCCTCTCTTGTTCAGTTGTCTGTTGTGTGGCTCAAGAGCCTTTAAGCCTCACAATGTTTTGGGGTCCATATGCTATATATCCTGCCACCAAAGTGATGCAAGTTATGCTAACAGAAATATGGAAATGCTTGTAAAAAGTGTGATGTGCTTTGCTGTTAGCTACCAGGCATCTTAGCAGTTAAAATTTATTGTTTTGAGTACCTGGGTAGCCACCAGGTACCAAAGCAGGGGATCTCCTGTCTGTCCCTCCGCCCTTCCCAATGGAGGAGTCTTTCTGATGCTGTTGAAGTACACAGAATGGCCAAATGTGTGTCTATGAGATACAGGGGTGTGAAGTTCACCTTGTTTACTGTGTTCTTGGTTCCTCTTGGTGATTTAGCTATGTTTA